TTTTTTTTTATTTATTATAGCCCCTTCATTCTGACTGAATAATACTGATTCTCCTTACCAAAACGGAAAGAAAGCGAAAAGAAGGAGAGTGAATTGAAAGATAGAAAGATAAAGTGTAAGAAAGGAATAAAAATATAGAATATAATAAAAAAAAAACATATAGGAAGAACAAGGAAGAAAATGGAAAAGAAAGATAAGGAGAAACCATTTTTGAGTGAAAAAAGTGTGAATAACCAAAGAAACGAGAGCGAAGGGAGAAAAAGAGAAGAAAAAAAGAGAACTGAGAAAGAAAGAGAGAAAAACGAACGCAAACAATTGACAGAGGGGGAAAAAGAAAAAGAAACAGGAAAAAGCAAAATATAACGAAGAAATAAAAGAAAAAAAAAAGAAAGTGTGAATGAATAAATGGATGAAAGTACGAAACAAAATAAATATGCAAATAAAAAGTGAAGGAAAGGACAAAACAAACAAAAAAAGAAACAAAGAATGAAATAACGAATGTAAAAAGAAAGAAAGAATGAATAAAAGATTGGAACAAAAAAATGATGAAAAAAGAAATAAAAAAACAAATAAAATGACGAAAGAAAAGAAAGAAAGACAGTGAAAAATAAAGAATGAATAAATGAACGGCAAAAAGAAAGAATGAAGGAATGGACGAAAAGAGAAAGAAAAATGAATGAAATAATGAAGGAAAAAAAGGACAAAAGAAAAGAACCAATAAAAGTACTAATTACGAGAAAGAAATGAAAAAAGAAAGAAAGAATGAATGACTGACTTAATGAAGGAATGGACGAAAAAAGAAAGAAAAATTAATGAAATACTGGAGTATTAAAAAGCAGGAAGAAAAGAACTAATAAAAAGACGAATTAACAGAAAAAAATTATAAAAGAAAGAAAGAAAGAAAGAAAGAAAGAATAAATGAATGAATGAATAAGATAAGAAAGAAAAATGGAAGAAATAATGTAGGAATAAAATGATGAAAGAAAAGCACTAATAAATGACGAATTAAGAGAAAGATAATAAAAGAAACAAAAAAGAGAAAGAAAGAAAGAAAGAAAGAATGAATGAATGAAAATAGAAAGAAGAATGAAAGCAATAATGGAGGAATAAAATGACGAAATAAAAGAACTTGTAAACGGACGAATTAAGAGATAAGAAATGATAAAAGAAAATGAATGAACGAAAAAAGAAAGAAAAATAAAAAGAAAATAAAGAAGGAATGAGAGGACGAAAGAAAAAAAAAACTAATAAAAGTTGGAATTAAGATAAAGAAACGATAACAGAAAGAAAGAAAGAAAGAAAGAAAGAAAGAAAGAAAGAAAGAAAGAAAGAAAGAATGAATGAGTGGAAGAAAAAAATTATAGAAATAATGAAAGACGTAAGAAAAGAACTAATAAAAAAAATCGAATTAATAGAAAGAAATGATGAAAGAAAGAATGAATAAATGCCAAAAAAAAAAACAAAAATGATAGAAAAATGAAAAAAATAATGAAGGAATGAAAGAACGAGAGAAAAGAAGTAATAAACGGACGAATTAAGAGAAAGAAATGATAAAAGAAAGAAAGAATAAATGATGAATAAAAGAAAGAAATGATGAAAGAAAGAAAGAAATGAAGAAAGAAAGAAAGAAGAAATGATGAATAAAAGAAAGAAATGATGAAAGAAAGAAAGAAATGAAGAAAGAAAGAAAAAAGAAAGAAATGATAAAAGAAAGAAAAAATGATGAATGAAAGAAAGAAATGATGAATGAAAGAAAGAAGGAAAGAAATAAAGAAAGAATGAAAGAAATGAAGAAAGAATGAAAAAAATGATGAAAGAAAGAAAGATAATTGAACTTAGTTGTGGAAAATAAGGTCATCAAGAAAACGTTACAATTTCAAAATAGAAGCGAGAAGGCCAAAACCAAAAAAAAAAGAGTTCAAGACGATAAAACACGTAATAAGGTAAAGGAAAGATGGAGGCGAGATTTTTGGCGTGCTGACGCGAACCGCAACTTAATGAGACGAGAAGACACGAAGGAAAATAAATTAAGAATGAAAAGCCGACAGGAAATGTCAGCTTTGAGGAAATAGACGAAAAGTTTAAAAGAGAAAGAGAAAGAATGAGAAAAATGGATGAAATAGGCGAAAAGAAATCGAGTAAAAAAACAAAAAACAAAAACAAAATAAAGAATCCAATTTAAAAGTGGCGGGCTCCAGAGTTGTGGAGAAAACTTTCTCAAAGAAACTGAACGTGTCTTTCGCGGTAAGTAGGTAGGACAATGAGGGGGCCCCGGACAGAAAAAGACTGAAATGTCGTCGCTATGCAAATAAAGACGTCAGAGGCTGATAAAAAAAAAATTAAAAAAAAACATAAAACGAACAACCATTGGAGTAATTTAGGATTAAATTTCGTTTCTTCTTGTTTTTCTTTTACTTCTACTTCTTCAATAACCCAACTGTCCCATTTCAAGTGTTACGTTTTAAATACTGAAGAGATCCTTGGACGGTTTGAATCCTTTTCTTTAAAAAACAATTTTTAGATATACTCTCCTTGTTCAAAATAAAGACTTAGCACTTTAATTTCTTCTTTAAAAAAAAAGAACGAAAGAGTGCATTTATGTCTCGGTGTGTGTGTATGTGAGTTTTTCTAGCGATTTTAGTGGAAGTTAATATGAAGATGAATATGAATCTGAGAAACATTGCCGCTTATTGTCAGAATCCAAGAATATATGATCGAATTAATTTCTTTCACATGATTATTAACTAACTTAAAAGACGCCCTATCAGGCGGCATTTAAACTAGCTCCTGCGGAAGGATTTTGATTGTGCCTTAGGCTTCTTCAGGAGTTTAGGAGTCCCTAAATCTTTGTCTATTCTCTTTGAAGCTCTCCTGGCTGCCATTTGACTCGGTTTTTCATTTGCCTGGAACTTTCTGTTCCTCGTTGAAGCCTTGGCACTTTTGATTTCATTATGGCCCTCTGTTGGCGAAGATTTCGTTTAGCGAGACATCCGTATGCTATAGGCAACAATAACTGCAGAAAAATTCAAAAATGATCGCTGCATTTAAGTATTGCATTAATATTTACGCTTAGCTTTTAAAAGTTCAACAATAATTCTTCTGCCACCACTTAATTTAAAGACAGTTTGATGTGCGTAGGTCCTTACTTTCCGTACAAACAATTATTTTATTTCATAGGTGACTTTCACTGAATTTCGCAGTTAATTTCAATTATTCTCAAAATTATTTCAAAGTTCTAAAAATTGTTATCGTAATAAAAATTCGTCTCAAAATATCACCTTAAAAAATCGCCGAGAACAATCACAGTAATGAAAACTTGGGATACCAAAATCTCTGTAACATGAGCTATTGAAAATTAGAGAGTTGTGTCCCTTTAATGAAAAAAGTTTGGCACAGTGAGATACACACATTCGCATTTAATATATAGCTGGTAATGGTAATTTTAATCGTTTCCTTATGCGAAAATATTTAGCATTCACTGATCGAGCAGATAGTACCATCTTTTGCGGAAGTTTATACGTTTTTTTAATAAAAGAAGTCTCCAGGAAAATAAATCTCTCAAGTCCAGCAAATGTTATCGCTGCGACGCTGAGATACGAACACTTATTGGGATAACGAAAGACGCATTCCAAAAGCTATTCAAAGTATTGCGAGACAAGATGATTTCTTTGGTAACAAAGGTACTGAACTGTTACGTGATATCTGTCTTCCTTTACGGCAGTGAGTGTTGGATTCTCTATTAAAAGATGAAGAAGAGAATCGAAGCAAGAGCTGTATGGTTCGACAGATGGATGCTAAGGATATCATGCAACGAATATATAAGAAACGATGAGGATTTGAAGAGGATACAAACAAGAAGGAAGTTTATACTTAACATCGGGAAGAGGCAGCTCAAATTTCTGGAATGCGTATTGAGAAAGGAGGGCTTGGGGAATCTGATACTCACAGGGAGGATAGAGGGAAAGAAAGACAAAGGAAAGCAACGTGTGATAAACCTAACGGGCTTAAGTTTGGGAGTAGTAGCAAAAGGACAAAACATATTGAGAGCTACAAGGGATATGGAGAAGTGGAGAGCCATGATCGCCTACGTCCTGAAGGGAGACCTCACATAAAAGAAGAAAGAAGTTTTCTAAGGATTGTGTCGGTGAGCAGTTTAAGTAGATCCGCTGAGAAAACCTACCCTTGTCTTACACTTCTTTGTACTTTTTGTATATTCACTGAGTATAGGAAGCAAGTTGGAGTAATGTATAGCGGCTCGGATTGAGGAAACAGAGAATCGAATACTACTTGAGTTCATTGCATTCACTTACATGCAAATACTATTATAATTCTATCTCTTCCCCACAACAACCGGTTTAAGTGAAGGACAACTATAAATCAAATAGCCTCAGCAAACCGCAATTGGCTCTGCGTGGTAATTATTGCTACACCCCTGAAGACATGGTCACTCAGAGAGAAGTTCTTCCAACAAGAGTAAAAACAACCTGGTTTGGGATTTGGATTTGGATATCGACTAAATTCGTTCTCTGTTGTCTGTCATATGAATTCAGTAATCACTTGTAAATTTTATAATCTTTAATTACAGCGTTGATGATGTTTTTTTTTATTGTTTAAGTTCACCCCAAGCAAGTTAGTAAAACCACTAAGACAAAAAGAGTTAATGGAATAAGTGAAGAAAATCTGTATAAAGCTTTCGAGACGTCCAAAGCAACAGCCCGAATTTCGCCATTCTTATCTATTAGGTAATGTCGTTTTTTGACGTTAAAAATACGTCAAAAAACGACATTATTACGTCATTATTTTTGCACCAACTTAATATAAGCTTGACAGACACTTTCTGCAATTATCCTCAGTATATCAGCAGTTGACCTAGAGAAACTAAAATCATATTACTTGTCTGAAAGAAGGCCCTGAATTATGAGATGCTTAACAAATTCAGTATTGAGTATGGCTCCTCGTAGTTTCCCAACATCTTCCTAAAAGTCTTTGAAAATGCTAAAATGTTACCTTCTTGCGGCAAAACGCAATCTCGCTTGGAGCAAGAATATGTGATAATGACACTCCAAAATCAATACATGTGTCTGTGACAGTAATGCGTAAATCTTTAGGTATTGTGACGCTTATGGCGAAGCGAGGATACAAGCTTGCAAGAAAATGAAGATTTCTGAGAGGACTAGACAATGAATGTTTAGAGTTGCTAGCGGGCCACTTATATGACAGTAAATGCTGGACAATTTGAACACAGATGTAGAAGTGACTTAGAGGTAGCAAAAATGTGGTTCTACAGAAAGCAGCTGAAAATACCATACGTTAGAAATGACAAAGACATAGAGAAAAACGGAAACAAAAAGGACACATACTTAACACCAGAAAGAAGTATTTTAAAATTTTAGGGCGCATAACGAGGAGAGAGGGCTTAGAAAATTTGACACTCCCATGATATATTAATGGCAAGATGAAGATGAAAACTACGCATAACATACCTAAAGAGCTTGTGTAAATGGTTGGAAGAACAGGGATTTGGAGAGATACAGAATTTGCTAAGAGATAGAGATGGTGTGGAAATCGTGGAGAGTCATGATCTCCCACATAATAACCCACGTATCGAAATTTGAGCTTATATCTTGACCAATAAATATCGTCAGTCATTTATGTGCCATGCGTGAAACACGCTTAGACGATCATGTATCTTTCGATGCATGACTGGCTAGGCAGATTTTTCCCGCAGTAGGTTGCCATTTCTTTATACGCTAGACCAGTTGCTATCCAAGGCTATAGAACCTGATATGTCCTGCTATTTACTCATAGCTGGGGTGGAGAAGAAGAGGTTTCATACGATTCCCAAGGGTATTAGTACGTAAGTGAATAAATGCATTACTAATTCGAATTAAACGAAAACTGTTTGTGCGTAGATGCTACAAAGAAACCTCATACCAATTGGCAGAGGCAGTCCTTAAAAAGATCCATAACATGCAGAATGATATCTGGACAGAAGAAAAGTGTTTCAATCTTTGCAGTCCTGGCAGAGCTTCATTATGTTAAGATCAACAAGTAACATTGGATAATTCTACGCATAGGTTTTATGATAGAGGAATAGTCCTCCAATATGGCCGTGAATGCTGGACAATCACTTCGCAGACGAAGGGAAAACTTGCAGAAACAGATGTGGTTCCACAGAAAAATGCTGAAAATTTCATGAAGAGAACAACGACGAAGTTTGATAGAAAATGGAGACCAAACAGACACTTACCCTTGATATCAGAAAGACACAGTCGAAATGTCTAGGGCACATAATGAGGAAAGAGGACTTGGAAAATTTGACACTCACAGAAGAGATTAAAGGCAAGAGGGACAGATGAAAACAACGCATAGCCTACCTAGCAATCTTCAGTAAATGTATGGGAGAACAAGGTTTTGTAGAGAGAAGAAAATGACAAAATTTATTTAGAACTATAAAAGACATGAAATTCTGGAGAGGCATGAACGCCAACAGTCTGAAGGGACACAGCATATAGAAGAAGAAGTTATCACTTTATTGACATTGGGATAAATTGTCTAGTTATTGTTAATGGATCTTCGACATCACACAATTCGCAAAATATTCTCGAAGACTACTTTTCTCGAAGACTACCTTTCTCAAAGACAACCCTTTCTCAAAGACTACCTTTCTCCAAGACTACCTTTCTTGAAGACTGCCTTTATCGAACATTCCTTTCTCGAAGACTACCTTTCTCAAAGACTACCTTTCTCGAAGACTACCTTTATCGAACATTCCTTTCTCGAAGACTACCTTTCTCAAAGACTACCTTTCTCGAAGACTACCTTTATCGAACATTCCTTTCTCGAAGACTACCTTTCTCAAAGACTACCTTTCTCGAAGACTACCTTTATCGAACATTCCTTTCTCGAAGACTACCTTTCTCAAAGACTACCTTTCTCGAAGACTACCTTTATCGAACATTCCTTTCTCAAAGACTACCTTTCTCAAAGACTACCTTTCTCAAAGTCTACCTTTCTCGAAGACTACCTTTCTCAAAGACTGCCTTTCTCGAAGATTACATTTCTCGAAGATTACCTTTCTCGAAGACTACCTTTCTCAAAGTCTACCTTTCTCGAAGACTACCTTTCTCAAAGATTACATTTCTCGAAGACTACCTTTCTCAAAGACTGCCTTTCTCGAAGATTACATTTCTCGAAGATTACCTTTCTCGAAGACTACCGTTCTCAAAGATTACATTTCTCGAAGACTACCGTTCTCAAAGATTACATTTCTCGAAGACTACTTTTCTCAAAGATTACATTTCTCGAAGACTACCTTTCTCAAAGACTGCCTTTCTCGAAGATTACATTTCTCGAAGATTACATTTCTCGAAGATTACCTTTCTCGAAGACTACCGTTCTCAAAGATTACATTTCTCGAAGACTACCTTTCTCAAAGATTACATTTCTCGAAGACTACCTTTCTAAAAGACTGCCTTTCTCGAAGATTACATTTCTCGAAGATTACCTTTCTCGAAGACTACCGTTCCCAAAGATTACATTTCTCGAAGATTACCTGATCAGAAAGCGACCAATAAATAAAGCAGAAAGTAAATGTTCTACAAAGTCGGTGATAGTTGCTTTTCTGCGTAATAATTCAGTGATCAGTTTTCGCCTTTAGAGAACTTGACTGTCTTGTTGCCATTCAAAAAGAAAATTATTTGGAGTGACTTCGATCCAAAAGTTATCTGGAGGTGACTTCACTCCTAAAGAAAATGTTTGAGGGATGATCTTAAAGAGTAAACTGGCAACACCCAATATTTCACTCTTGAAAATCAGAAACATACAATGATAGATGAAAATCCCTCAACACATTTCCTCTAAACAGAAAAAAATCATCGACAGATGATTCTATTTAGAAAGGACAAATAGTGCAGCTATAAACTCCTGTATATACACGCGTTTAATGTGAATTTAATGATCTAATTTTGAACCTAATTGTAAGGGGGTCGCGTCATACACAAGATATAAAATTAGGCTATGTACTGCTGGCCCTGACTACGCCGTTGACCAGATTATATATGCATTTACTGTAATCAAATTAGCTTCGAAATTAGGTCTTCAAAGGTCGCATGATACGCGAGTACGTACGGTAAATAAGAGCGGAAAAAATAAATAGCGTTTTACAATGGATGCCATTTGATCACATGATTTCCTTTCACGATATCCAGAAATGATAAAGTATTGTTTGTTTTCATTTCGTAACTAATATCTATCGGAATATTTATAATACCATAACACATGTGATGAAAAGAGAGAAGAAAGAAAAAATGAAATTTGTCGCCCACATGGCTTAGCAAATAAAAAAAAAATCTATAAACTATAGGGTTGGAACACATTTAGTAGTGTTTTGGCATAAGCGACATTTGATCACGTGATTTTGCTTCACGCGTGACTAAAATTTTTCATATATATACATTTGCTTTTACTAATACCCAATACAAGGACCAAGAACCACTCAATGTAGAGGGATTCTGTATAGGCTTATATTAGCGTAGGAAAAGACAAGCATTAGGAGTCTATAGCTGCAGCAGAATTCAGAAGGGATCGGAAACCTAACCCTAAACAGGAAACAAGGGATAAATCTTAAATCCTGTTTAAAAGAACGGGGAGGAGTGTAAACCGGGCGAGAGGCGAACCTATATATATTTAACGAGTTATTTCAACGCGCCTTTCGCTGTTTAAGCAGAAGATGACCTGGGGGTGGGGACGAGAAGCCGCTCTACACCCGAAGGAGGTTATGTTGTGTATCTGTTAGGAGTAGAAGAAAATCGCTATGACGTGCTCGCGCCTCGAAATATTAATTCAGACAAGTACTGCTCAGAACTGAAACCGATTAAAAGCAGAAATCGATGCAAAACATTCGGAATTGGTCAATAGGAAAGGTGTCGTTTTCCCATTACGACAACGCTAAAATCTCGCGTCTCATTGTAGACCTGGCAGAAATTGGTACAGCTTAACGGGATGTCCTTCGCATTTGGCATTTTTGCGACCTTTCCCAATTGATATGTGCTATATTTAGTTTGAATGTAGACAATCTCAGAATTTCAGAAATCGCCTAACTTTGTCATGACACGGAATATTTGATAAGTTATGACCATTTGATGTTAATCAAAACTTGCACATTTATTTTTAGATGGACTGTTCTGGAATAGTTGATTTTTTCTGTCTCTTTTAACTAGCGAAATTATTGGAATCTTATTGAATTAAGTGTTGGTATAAATGACAGACATGCTTACCTTGTGACTTTTATTGCTCAAAGTAGAGTTAAATAGTGTTATAAAAACTTTGATGAATTCCAGTAAGATATCTTTAATCATTTCTAAGATCCAAGGGTTCAAATCTTAATCTAACAATTGGACAATTTTGCTGTTACACCCGGTACATACATACATACATACATACATACATATATATATATATATATATATATATATATATATATATATATATAGATAGATAGATAGATAGATAGATAGATAGATACACCTAGTGAGCCAGACTTTCCCTGACGATCCGTTTAGGTGAAACCTAAGTAGGTTTGTCTGGCTCACTAGGTGTATCTAGGTCTGTTCTACGTTTGTATTGACCGCTTTTGTTAGTTAGTTGTTTACTCGTATAGGGTTTTTTTTCTTTGGGCTTCAGACCTGCATCTGTGCGATTTTTTGTCGACAGAAGTTCATGTTTGTAGCTCTTTCTTTTTTAAAACCTTTTTTTCCCTCGAGATTGATTTGATTATTAGCAAATCAAAAATTCGAGGGTTTTTCGAAACGAGTCTAGTTATCTATATTTGTATATATATATATATATATATATATATATATATATATATATATATATATATATTGAACAAAAAAAAAATTAAAAAATAAAGTCTTCAGACAGTGTTGTATATTAATATTCTTTCGTTTTTAGATTCTTAGATTTTTAGATTCCTCGACTAGTTTTGGCAAAAACAATTTTTTGCTTGCTGGTAGAAATATATATATATATATATATATATATATATATGAAAGTGAACACTGACCTCAACGTTCAGAGGCGATAGGCTGTTTCATACTAGACGCAATCGTCAGTTAGCGGCCTAACGATTGCGTCTAGCATGAAACAGTTTGTCACTTCTGAGTGTTGACTTCAATGTTCACTTTTATATTTATACACGCTCTATCTCTGATATTGAGCATTTTATCCGATAAATATCGCACACCTTATAACTATATTTATTCATATATATATATATATATATATATATATATATATATATATATATATTTCCTCAAATGGAGAAGAAATATTTGAATTTATAACCACGCTGAAATCATTTTAAAATGACTAAAATATTTGCTAAACATCTGGATTCGTTTTTAAAGCATTGTCTACCAACCACGAGATAACTCGTGGTTAGCAGCTTTCATTATGGCGTCGATTTCATACGAGCTCGTACTTGGCATTTTCTGCGAGTGTCAATAACGAGTTTATTCAAAGCAAAGTCAAGTCTTCTGTTGAAACTATACATCAAGTCAGACATCTGTCTAAATTGGCTTTTATAATAATGGCGTTTGAAGTCAGATTTTTTTTAATTGACCTCTGGCAATCAAGGTGTTAAACAATATACCTCAAAAAGTGAATCTAAAATTTTTGTGTCTGTGTGTAGGCGCGATCGCGCGCGCGTGTGTTCGTGTTTTTTGTGATATACTCTCGAAACAGTCGCTCTAATGTGAGAGTTGACTTTGCTATTTTTAGAGATAATTTCTTTATCCCCTTCAGCGCATGTTAATGTCCAGGCCTGTATATCAAAATACAGAGACTCCTGCTAGGCGAAGATGTTTGGCTAAGAGTAACGAATTAAAATCTAAGATAAGGTGCAGTATTCTACTGTACTTAAAGCGTGCTACTCCAACCAAGAAGAAAAAAATATCGACTGTGTTGTAATACAAGACAAACATCTTTCAGGTATGTATATAAAATATAGATATATATATATATATTTATTTAAGAAGTAAGTTATATAAGAAAATGAAAATAAACACAAGTACAATAATTAACAGAGTAACAGCGAATAATATTTTCCAACAGGATGTGTTTGGATTTATACCCCAGTCATTTTCATTCATGTTTAAGTGTCAGTCATCTCTCTAGATCAATTAATAGTGAGTTCGATCCTCAATGGGTGTTCACATTTTCAACATGTAAGCTACGCTTAGAAAATTCACTATGTTTAAATTTCAGTCATTCAAAAGAGCTAGTCGATTTGTGAGTTACGCCACAAGACATCGCCAAACACTCGTTAGTTGACGCTGTTTAATTTCTATAAAAGGACAAACATTTCCTTCCTCTTTCTCTTTATTTCTATTGCTCCAAGTGCAACGTAGATGGAGGCGTCCTTCCTTCAGAGCGTTCCTTTTTCCGGTTGACTGAACTCTTACACGCATGCCTAAGTGCACCTTACACAAACAAGTAGGTTCTTAATAGGAAAATTTTATTTAATGTCTTTTCCTTTCAACTGTGTACGTATTGATGTGATTTGCTTTTGTTAATACGTGCACTGTTTGTTTAGCATCAATGTGTTGGAATTTTTGGGTACCCTGGTGTACTAGTGAGCCAGCCAAAATGAGCTGACTCATTTTATAGTTCACCAATAGAAGCGTTAACCAATCAGAAGGCTCAAAATATTCAATGCGACGTGTATAAAGGCGGCCATGTTTTTCCTGAATACTCACTGCCAGCCTTTGATATCGAAGACTGAAGAATTACTGAACAACTGCTGGTGGTATTGGCTATATAGTCAGATTCAGTAAAATATCTGACTCGAGAGTATTAATCTTTAACGTTGTTTCATTGTACTGCGCTGTATTTTATATTCATAGACTATGGGGAACATGGTCAACACAGTGATCTGTGTGTTTTTATCCAGTCTCGTATGAGTCCGCCAAATATTGTTAGCGGGTCAAATGTACCATGATTCATTAAATATTTATTGAAAAACGTCCACATCTTGCAAGAAAAGTGGTACTTCCTGAAACAGTCTCTATATATTGACGTCGATGAAAAAATATAAAAAAAAAATTATCCGAATATTCGCCATAACATATCTTTAGACAATGTGGGTATTTTTTGACTTTCTCTTGTGGTATCCATATTATTATATCTTTTAATGAGTAGAATCCATAACATTTTTCATCCCACATCCAATCAAGTCACATGCGGACGCGAAATACGCTTTGCAGGACACATCTGGAGAGCAAGACAAGAGTTCGTGAGTGATCTGCTGCTCTCGACACCTAGCCATGGAGCATGATGGGTTGCGAGCGCAGTAGCCATCTACACTGACCAATTATTTTACGACACAGAATGCCACCCTAATGAACGTTCGATCTTGATGCAGGACTAGGATGTCCGAAGATGGTTCGACCGAATAATAATAAAAA